CCCACAGGAAGATGACCAGTTGGCTACTGCCTGTCCCAGCACAAGGCTAGTGGGCTGGCCTTCACTCACACACGGTCAGCTCCACAGTTCCCTCTGAGCTTCTTTCCCTCCGGATTCTCTTTCTGATTCCTTCTCTCCTCTCTAATCCCGTCTGTCTTTTCAGTCATTTTCTAACTCTGAATTTCTCTTGGATTTGGTTTCTTGGCTTTTCTCTTTCCATTTCTGACTCTCTCTCTCTCCCTTTTCCTTCTCCCTTTTCTTTCTTACTCCTCTTCTTCCCTCTCCCTATGATTCGTTCTCTCTCCCTCTTTCTTTCTCTCACCATCAGTTTAGATCTATCTCCCATTTTTCTTCCTTCCCCACTTATTTTCTGTTTCTCTCTCTGTGTCTTTCTGTCTCTATGTCTGTCTGTCTCTATCTCTGTCTGTCTGTCTCTCTCTTTCCACACACTGCTTTCCTCAAGACTCTGAATGCTGCTGCTGCCCACTCTTGTACAAAACTGGTATCACTGTTCCTCAGTGACCAATTTTCTTTCCTATGGTTAGAAAGTAGCTCAGGCCTTAACCCATTTCCTCCGGCATATCCAAATTAATTAGGTGACACCGGGATCACATGTTTCAGAATTAGAATAATATTTATCAAGCACCCTGGAGAGCAAGGCATGGAAGATGGAGAAGAACCAGAGCAAAGAGGGAGGGCATTGAACTGAAGGGTCATTGAGCTGGAGGGAAAACTGAGAGAGGGATCTTGTCCTTAGACCATGAGTTCTGGAAAATGAGGGCTGTCTTGCTTATCTGTCTGAGGGCACTGGGAAAGGGTGGGCCTTGGAGAATGGTTCAGGAGTGGGGTAGGTACCAGGAGCCTTCCCTTTTTCTCTCACCAGGACAACACGCAGTAGGGTTTCTGGCTCCAGAAAGCATGCCAGTCAGCCTTGAGAGAAAACATTTCCAAGTCTACCTCTCTCCCCTGGCACTGCAGCCAAGGAATCTAAATCCACTAGATATTCCAGGCCCTTCCTATGCTATTTTCATTCATTCCATGGCCTACAAGTCAGCCAAGACTGGGTTGGGGTGTTCATTGGTGACTGTCTTCATTCTTTTCTCTGTGGAAGTATTAAGAGCAGAGAGTGAGCGATGACCCAGACAGGAAGCGATCATCTGCAGGATGATCAGCATCTCCAGATCCTCTGTGTCTCTGTGCCCAGCTGGTGTTCACCTCCACGTAAGCTGTTCAGTAAACACCTGTGGAACTAGTTAGCATCAAGGATCACACAGTCACTTTGCTGAGTGCTAAGTAGACATCAGTGTTCTTGAACTTCACTGCGATCGACTCCACGATCCCTAGTCATGAGGGATTGTCTGCAGCTCCATTTGAGGTTTTTCTTTGGATGCCAGTAGCACCTCCCTTTCTCATTTGTGACAACCAGTATAGCCAAATGTCCACCTAGAGAACAGAAGGGACAAACTCACCCTGGTTGAGAACATCGATGAAGAGTTAGTCTTGGCTTACTAGAAGATTTAACCATATGACCCTGTTCTCCTTCACAGCCCACAGAGAAGCAGGAATCTTTATAAGAACTTAGAAGGCAAGATAAAGAACAGAACAGATAGCTTTCCTGAGCTATTGTTTACCTACCACAAAACTTACCCTTGAATTCTTTTTTACCATTCCTGGGGCTTGACCTCAGGGCCTGAGCACTGTCCGTGAGCTTCTTTTTACTTAAGGCCAGCACTCTATCACTTGAGCCACAGTGTCACTTCCAGCTTTTTCTGTTTATGTGATGTTGAGGAATCAAACCCAGGGCTTTGTGTCTGCTAGGCAAGCACTCTACCACCAGGCCACATTCCCAGCCCTCATCCTTGAATTTTAAAGGGTAAATCCTCACGATTTGTATATAGTCTGTGGTGTGAAACGATTGAAAAATTTCATCCTCCCCAGAGGGAATCCCATATCTGTATCCTATGCAAGCTTTCACATTTGTCCTCTCCAAACCCCAGGGTAACCACACAATGATGTTCTGCTCCTATAGATTTACCGATATTTACCTAATTTATTAACATGGTTTTTAATAAAGGGTTGGACACACTGCTCAAGTGCAGTCTCCTGAGTTTAAGCCCCAGTACAGCTAAAATCCATGAACACATAAGAACAAGCACTTTATTACTCTTTTTCTTTTGCTTTGGGTGATATTTTCAAGGTTCAGCCAAGTCACGGCCTGTATCTTTACTCTGTTGTATGAAGAAATCTCATTTTGATCCATTCACCCACTAAATAACATTTGATTTGTTTCTATCCTCTGGCTATGATTAATTATGCTGCCATGAGTTGTTATATGCATTCAGATTTTACATAGACTGTTTTTTGTTGTTGTTGGTTTTGGGTTTTTGTTTTTTTTGTTTGTTGTTTGTTTGTTTTTTACTGCTTTTGGTACTCCCTAGAAGCAGAACATGCATTTAAGCTCTGTTGAATGTTTTGAAGAACTGCTGAGCTATTTAGCAGAGGAGAAGCACTCCTTCACATCCCTACCGAAAGAGTATGAAAATGCCTGTTGCGTCATCCTTATCAACAATTGAGATCATCTGGCTTTTGGGTTACAGCTGTCCACATGTCTACGGATGAGTAGCTCAAGGGAACCTTGCTTTGTAGATCCCTGATGATTTATAATGATGCCCAAACTACTTTTCCTATATACCTTCTTGGGAGCCATGGCTGTTTACATGCTTTGCTCATTTTGCAATTGAGGTTTTGTTTTGCTTTTAACTGTTGACCTGTAGGATTTCTATATCTATTCTGAACCAATTTTCTTATCAGATATGTTTTGCAAATATTTTCTCCCACTGAGTGATCATCTTTTATTTTTCTTGGGGGGATCCTCTGAGGTACAGTGTTTTAAATGAATTTATATTTTCTTTAATTGCTTGTGCTTTTGGCAGTGGCACATAAAAGAAACCATTGCCAAATCTAAGACACTGTTTTTTTATGTTTTCCTCTAAGAGCTTGCAGTGTTGTGCTAATACTTAGGCATACGATACATTTTGAACCAATTTATATATGTATTGTAAAGTCGGAGTCCAACTTTATTCTTTTCACATGGCTATGTACTTGTCCTGAGATCATGTTTTAAAGAAAACATAATTCTTCCTCCAGTGAATGCTATTTGACACCCTTATTGAAAGTGAAAATGAATTGATTGTAGATTATATAGATTTATTTTTTTGGATGGTAACTTTTCTTCTATTGGCTTCTATGTCTATTATAACTTGTAATATTCTGGTTTCTTATCATAGAAAGATGGTAGGGAGCATCTCTGTACAAGGAAACCAAGGTATCATTCAGGGATATATGATTAGAAAAGATAACAGAAAACAATCACATTTTAGGACCAAAAGGGATCTAAGAGGTTATGTTAGTATAAACCCTTTTTGTTTTGCTGATGGGGAAAAGTGATTAGATTTCAGTGTCTTCTTAGGTTAACACATCTTCCCAGAGGTTCAAATGTGATCAGTGGCAGAGCTGGGATTCCAACCAAACACTTAGCTTCCTAGAGCAATGCTGCTCCTTTTCCCCAGGCCCTACATTTCAGCTCTCCAGTCTTGCCTGTACCCAGTCTTACCAAGCTGGATTTCTTTTCCCAAAGCAAGGGGAGGTTCTGCCTTCTCTTTTCCTGACACAGGCCCACAGTCGAGAAAGACAGTGATGGGAATGCATTTGGAAAATCTGAAATTGCTATATAAATGCCAGTAAATGATAAGATTGCCAGTCTGATGCTCCTCTAGGAAGGCTTAGCGTGTTGCGGGCGGTGTAATGGAGGGAACTAATTCACCCTTTGACATGTTTTTAAAAGGCTGGAGTTGTCACGTTCTGAGTGGGTAGAGCAAGGAGCTGGGCTAGATGAAGGGATGTGTTAGAATGAGCTGGGCATGACCTCAGATGGGCAGTGCTGTGTGAGGAGGCCTAGCAACTCCCATCACACCCCTCAGGAGCATCCCAAGTAGAAAGAAGAGTCTCTGCCCTGTTGTTGACCATCAGGGTTGACTCAGGAACCAGGCCTTGCCTCTGAAATGAAGCCATCCAGTTGTGATGTTTTGATGTTTGTCTATACTCACCTGTGCTCTGGACATCTGTTTTCTATGGCCAGTGAGCATCTTCTCATTCACACCCCTTGAAGCCATTTGTGTGTAGCCATTTGAGGAGCAATTCCCTTCAAATGGTGAGCAGGAATGGGGCCTGATCTACTTCTTTCTCTTTACTAATTGCTTGTTTGGGTGCAGAAGGTAAGAACTGAACAGATAAAAACGGCTCTCTCTGGGTCACTGAGTCTCCAGCAGAAGGGTGGGCCTCTCACTCTGGCAGGCTTCCTTCCTGTGAGTTTGTAATTGCTCCCTTCTCTAGACTCCGTTTGTCTTCACTGTCTGCACCCTCCGTGTATTCTGATGTTTATCTTTTTTATCTGAGCATCCTGTCTTTGCAGCTAAATCACGCTTTTCTTTGACAGCAGGAGCTGTGTGCTGTGCTTATTTGGGTCACCAGTATCGAGCACATGTTACTGGATGTGTGTTTCTTGGATGGAGATGTCTCCTCCCCGCCCCCCCCGCCCCCTTTCCCCATCCCTTCTCTGGTAATTAATAACCTCCTGAGTTTGAAGGGAAGGTCAACCCTTTCCTGTAGTGGCATTCTACTATCTGGCCACTGCAGATATCTACCTGATATTGGTGCATATTTGAGGGATTAGTATTTTGAAAAGGCTCAGGGTTTAATGGTATGGGATGAATTAAGAAATGAATCTATAATCATAGTCTTTCAGTGTTTGTATGACCAGAGCAATACCTGCTTTGCATCCTCTATGAGAGCAGCACCAAATGAAACTATGTCTGTTGAACACGAATGCCACATCTCTGTCTCCTCCCGTAGGTCTGAGAATCAAAGGACCTGTGGAAGCAAACCCACTCCCTTTGAAGTTATGCAGTGGCATCTCACTCTGTGATTTCCTCCTTGTCTAGGGCTCTGGCTGACATCTTGAGACAGCAGGGGCCAATCCCCATAGCACACTGTGAAAGAGAAACGATTTCGGCTATCAATGCTTCACCCAAAGAGAACACTCCAGTCAGATCAACCTCCAAAAACCACTACACCCCCGTGCGAACAGCTAAACAGACGCCAGGTAAGTGAGAGCTAATCACCTTGAATCGTCATTGAGCTCTGTGAGAGGTCTTGGTTATGTTTCTGCCCTGGTGGGACAGGTTGTGGAACACTGGGCAGTGGAAGATGCCTTCCTTGATGGACAGGCAGGCTTGTGATATTGAGAAGGGTTCACTAGGCAGAAGATCACTGCCAGAGTGTGGGCTGAGTGAGAGCTGATGTTGGGGGCATCTGGAATTTACTAACCATCTCATCTAATTCTCTGTGTGAAATGCAACTTGTACCAGCCATCGTGGGCTATGGCTACTCATGTGCTCATGTGGTGGAAGGTTTCCTTTGCTTAGGATTCTGAGAAAGTTTGTTCTGACGAGGGTGCTGGATCAGTAACAAGAAAGTCTGCATGCAGGTGTAAAGCCTGCTCAACTCTTGGAACCTCAAAGATTCCTTTTTGAAGGTGGGAATGTTGTCTGTGTCTTTTGGTGACCTTCTCTTGTGAGCTATAAATTCTTCAGGTATATGATGAGTTGCCATGTAATGATTAACAGTTGCCCTTTGTGAGGAATTGTGTGGATCTCCAAAGGATGTCAAACTCTTCAGATGTTCAAGTCCTTTATATGCATGGGAAGAGTTATGGCATATAAGTGACACAACCCTCCTGGATCTGGAGTACTTACATAATCCAACATGGTACTGTAAGTAGTTGCTATACTGTATTGTTTAGGAAATGATTATAAGAAAATTGTATGTCATGGTTAGACAGACATATAACTGTTTGGGAATATTTTTGATTCATTGTTGGTTGGACTCCATTGGTTTGCATTCTGTGGTTGGTTGAATGCTGCAGTTGGGTGCAGAATCTGTGTGTATGCAGGATTGACTGAGCCTTCGACATATTTTTATTTGATCATCACTGTACCACTATAAAGGAAACTGGACAGCACTTATCTTCTTTGTTGTAGGGATCAATAAATGAATTTCTAGGAAACTTTATAAATGGACAAAGACCATTGAGGTGTTAGTATTATGAAAAACAGCAGTAATCACAATAATAGAACCTAGGTATCTATTGGACTCCTGTTCTGTGTTAAATGTCATGTTGAACATTTTATATGGATGTTCTTAGTTATTCTTTACAGCAATATTACCCGGCCTTTATTGTTCCTATTTTATATGTGTAATAAAATCATTGAGTAGCTGTCCTTAAGATCATATTGTTAGTAAGAGAGAACTTCTGGACTCTGATGAAGGCAAATAGCTAACAACAAACAGGACTAGAAAGCCACCATAAATTTACTGAGTTTATCTAAGTGAAAAGAATCCTTATAAGTGTGTTGTGAGAAGACCCACATCATTGTGCACATTACCAAACAGCCTGATACTGGTTCTATCTCAGACACAACTTCTACTTTAGAACTTAGATGTGGACTCGACACTTGGGTCTCCCTTACAATTTTTCCAGGCCATAGAATCTGTGTGAAATCTGCAGTAAAGATGTACAACCATCAGGAGGCAATAGGCATGTCTACTCTAAAACTACAGCAGAAGGGCTACTGAGATCCAATTCATTTTCTTCAGTTTTCTGAAATTTTCTAACTTGCCTGCTTTAAAATAGAAGTCTTAAATGTTTTAAGCATCTACTAAAAGCTAAAGATAATGTCCCTTGAAAATATGCACACAAATATGCATATAGATGAATATATACATATCCGTCTAACACTTTGTGTAGAATATAAGAGAATTCATAAGCCCCTCCACAGTTAGAAATCTTTGTTTCAGTGGTTCTTACCTATAATTCTAGTTATTCAGGAAGCTGAGACCTGAAGATCATTAAGTCAAAGCCAGCCCAGGCAGGAAAGTCCAGGAGATCCTTATTTCCAACTAACTACCATCAAAGCTGAAAGTGAGCAAAAGAGCTCAGGGACAGCACCCAGGCTGCAGGTTCAAGCCCCAGGACTGGCACCCTCCTCCCCATCAAAAAAAAAGATGAGGGAATCCACCTTTGTAAATGGGTCTAAGACACATTTCAGCTTTAATATCCTAGTTTTTCAAAATGCAAGCAGTAGAAGGAGTCTTGGCAAAACACATTTCAAGCAGTGGTCATTTACTTGGATGTACAGGTATTTGAGACAACACAGGGGTGCTATAAAATACCAATGCCCAAGCTCCACAAATAGCCAGTTTCTAGGGATAGAGCTGGGACAGATAGTTGGTCTAGTGATTTCCTAAAAGCCAATTCTAACATGCAGCCCTGGTGAAATAATAATTGGTCTAGATGGATTCCTTCATGCCAGGAGAGAAGACATTGGCTATCTGTGTTTCTCCAACTTGGATACAAGTTAAATCTGAGGACTGCTGGGCACAAGAATTCAGACACTTACTATTTACCCTGTTTAATCTAACTTTGATATGGCTACCTACTTTGACGACGAGGGTACTTTGATTTTTCCTCTCAGAGGCATCATTTAAAGTCAGTCTCTTTCAAAGCCTTGTTTGTAACTCTGTAACTTCAGAGCACTCTGTCATCAGATGTTTATCTTCATCCCTCTCTTCATGTTTTCAGTGTCTCATTCACAAGCCAGCTAGTTTCCAGCTACCTAATCCAGACTGATGCAGTGGACAACCCTGATTTTCTCTTAAATATCCTTCATCAAGCAGGAAGTTTTCTCATTTCCTCCTGGTTTCTATGTACATTTGCTTTTCTAGTGAGTGGAGAGAAGGAAGGCATACAATTACACAGTTTACTTCTCCTTGCATTTCTCAAATTGTAACTCCTTACTTTGCTTTTGGAGATGGAAATGGCTTTTCCCCCAGCCCTGGGAAGCTTTCTCAGTGGTGAAACTGAAATGCAAAAGCAATTTTACCACAAGCTACATCTTCCATAGCGTATAATGGACACAATGCCTTTCCAAATAGCTGCTATCCTCTGCCACACAATATTGCAATTTGAGCAGAAGTTTCAACAGAACTTTACGTAAATGTTCACAGTGGAAATTTACTGTGATTTCGCCACTCATCAAATCAACCATCCAGCAGTTGTCGCTAAGTGGCAAGAAAATTTAGGGGGATATTAATAAAGATACACTGTGAGACCATCAGGCATCAGAGCTCAGGGGAAGCAGTGTATTCAAACTGCTGTCATTGGGCTGGCAGAATTGGGGTTACCTGGGAGTTGGTGAGAACATGCTCTACCTCACTCACAGGACTGGAATCTGCAGTTAGTGAATCCACTCAGCACTGTCCATTTGCTTTGTTTTTGTTTGTTTGTTTGTTTGTTTTTGGCACCTTCAGTTGTTGTAAGGGAAATCCAACCATGAGAGACAGAGAAGCCACATTTTGAGAGGTCAACTTGGGAGTCTTTATTGTGAAGCTGGCAAATTGCAGATGGACTCCTGTCTCAAAGACCTGCAGATCCTCTACAGAAAAAACAACACTAACAAACCAGATCAACTCCAAGGAAGAGCTGAAGTGGGACACTATGGTGATTTGAGGAGAGCTAGGGGATACAAGACAGGAGACACAGACAAGAGGCATGGCATAATGACACCTGAGCTGGTCAGGGTCCAGTGTCAAGGGTCAGAGGGCAGGGTCACAGGAAACTTGAGAGTTTCCCAAGTTCAAGGCACAGGACTGACAGCTCCAGTAAACTATCATCCAAGTCCCCCCTTTGCATACCTATCACCTGGGAGATGGAACTTCACCTTCCTCTACCATGAAGACAAGATGGTACCAGTTAAACCTAATTCCCTACCTACCATGTGGCCCAGCTGGTGCTGGTTAGATCCAGCATCCCCACTTTCATAGTTACTGTGTATGTGATTGGGGCTTTTTTTGAGTTTTCTTTTCTGCCTTTGTGGCTACTAGATCCTGCTGCCTGGATTGCTTCATGGGTTTAATGAGTTCAAACAGAGAGAACCCACTCAAACACATCCTTATCCGTAGCAAAAGCTATTACCCATGATCAGCCTGTGGAAATGAAATGCATCCATGGCTCCTGGGAAACAAATCAAAATGAATGAGAGAGACAAAAGCAATGTGCTGGTGTTCATAGCTGATGCAGGATTGTGGGTGTGTGTACAAGATGAGCCAGGGTTTTAGAAGTTGAATGTGCATGCTTATTTGGTCCGGGAAGTTGAGTGGGGATCCTGCACAAACGCTAAACACAATGGCAAGCCAAGCAGCTCACGTGTCCTGTGTTGAGCATAGCTGGGTAGCCTCTGGCAGGAAAGCAATACAATTTTACATCTGTATCATGCAGTGTGTGGGGGAGTCCACTTGGTACCTAATGGATAACAGAAGTTGCATGGTTTTTGAATTCTGAGGTCTGGAACTCCTAACCTCAGACTGGCAGAAAAGTCCTCTCTACTTAGCTCTGAGTCTTGCCCAAACTCTTCCAGGAAGCCCCCTCTCCACATTAAAAGAAGCTTCCCAACACACACATATCTACAGCTAGAAAACCAGCGAAGACTACTTCACCACTACTCTTCAGACCATTTGTGGCCTGTGGACCAGCAGCCACTGCATTTGATGAGAAGCTGGTGAGAAATGCAGAAGCTCAGGCCCTTCTTCAGATCCCTCTGAAGCAGTTTGTGCATTCTTCCAGATTCCCCGGGTGGTCTGTTCCTATGTTGAAGTTGGAAAAGATCCTTCTAAGTCAGTGGTTCTCAGTCTTTGTTGCTCATTGGAGCTACATGACGATTTCTGAAAACATGACTGCCCAGCCCCTACCACAGAAGGGCTGATGTAACTGGCCTCTGGCAGAACCTGAACAACAATGGTAATATTTCTAAAAGATTCATGCATTCTCTCACGTTCAGCATTACTCTTAGAATGCAGCAAGCAAGCTGAGCTTTGGAGGGAGGCAGTCAGTGGGGATAACACCCTTTGAGAAGAGTGAACTTTAGGTTCCCATCAAGGCTCCCATGATGGAGGCCATCTGGTAGTGCCAGTGGGCTGTGCGAGAGAGAACTTCCTTTGGGAAAGGTGGGAGTGGAGGACTCAGGCTCATATGAGAGATGGGATCAG